ATCTTCAGAGTTTGTGTTCCTACAACAGTGCAGCACACCACAAATCCCAGACACTCACGCATGCATTGCTCACTATGTACAGAAGCTTTATTGTGGTTATCATTAACATTATCAATAAATCTGTTTGTTATATGAAACTCAGAGGCAGGTGGAAGACAAAGATTTATTGAACAGTTCCCTAGAAGCCTTGAAACACAAAGCACAGTCTCCCTTCAGCTGCTAAAAATGCTGGCTGGAAAGGTAGACTATGGGAAAAAAATTCACTCACACCTGCCACTTATGGCTGTGACTCAGCATCATGATTGCCTTCAGTTTCTATCATGTACTTAAAGGGTTCCTTTACATGAAGTAGTAGAGCCTGTGTTTGCATTCCTTAATGCCCTAGGGTTGCTTTACCTGGGACTCATGATTGCCTAGCTCGCCTCATCTCTCAGCCAGGCAGAGGGGAATATGTTTATTCCTGCCTTTAGATTCTTATCTGAGATGTAGAGCTCACTGTTTGAACATATGAATATGTAGTTAAGAGGTAGAAGTTGTCAGAAAATCATGCAGCTAGTCACTGGAACAAACAAGGGAAGAGAAATGTCTTAATAGAAGAGTTATCTTGACATTTCCCAGCACAACCAGATCTGACTGTGGTCTACAAGAAATCAATTCACAGGGAAGCCACAAATACCAGCTAATGCCTCAATTCATAAACTTTTATCCATGCTGGTGTGAAAGTCCAATTAAAGCAAACAGGACTATAGTCCCATTAGTCTGATTTCAAGACCACAGCTGACAGGAATGCTCTATGGAATGAAGGCAGTGAGGTAGGGTGGAAACCAGACCTAAAAGTTTTCATCCATCTAGATTCACGTTGTCCTTATTTTACCTATCCTGGACAGTCTTAAGTAATGTAATTGCTTAGTGCCTTAGCTTCGTAAGGAGTATATAAATATTGATTGCTAATGGAAGGGTTCCAAAAGCCTTTTAAACTAACACTTTTGTTCTGCTCTCATTAATTATTATTCACATATTTTGGAAGGAAGACTTCAGTTCCACTCACTTGACAAACGCTTTTATTAAGTATTGTGAATAAGAAGCTTTTATAAGACTAGATAAATCGTTGGGAGATTTTTATATTTTTCTTAAGACCAAATCACTCCTTCAGAAGGGCTATTTTTGACAGAAGGAAAGAAAGGTTAAAATAGTGTATGTATAGCATAAATAATTTCCAACTAATGACCTGAATTTTCAGGGTCAAATCTTCTGAGAGTTTATTATTAATCTCTTGACTTCAATTGACCTATGGTTTAGTTGGGGGGGATATTATTTTTAAATAAAATTGGGGATTATCTTTAATTGAAAGATATGGCTAGGTTTAGCTGTTTTTGCAGGTTTTTATTGCTAGGAATCTTGATTTGGACTTTTCTCAGCACATGGAAAGCTTCTGGTGAAGGCAGCTATTCACTTCATTAACAATAATCAGGGCCAAAATATACCAGAAGAATACCAAAAATTATTCTTACAGATACTGTAATGGAATAGAAATAGCCATGAGGACAGACACTTATTTAATAGAAAGGAATGCTACATATAAACGTGCTTGCAATAATTATTTCAGAAGCCTGTAAAAGTAAATTGAGGGTGAAGAGGCAGCCCTGCATCTCATACTTCCAAATCTCTGCTCCAAACCTAAGCGAGGTCAAGGATGGGATTAATTTCTTCCACACAGGTAGCAGTCTCAGTAGTTGTTTAAAAAGGTATATAATAATTTAAGTCATGACAGTGCATGAAGGGAAAGTGGAAGAATGTTTCTTGTTCCACCCCAAGCTGATAAAAGTCAAGACCCATTGCAGCTATCTCTGTAAGTTGCTGGATGAGGTACGGGGAATTAATTATCCAGGTATCAAGAACTGCTTAATTGGTGGTCCTGAAACGCAGCTATTACTCAAGAAGTTTCCCCTTAAAAAAAAAATATATATCATTGCTCAATTGAAAAAGCAACACTAAGTGAGCCTCTCAAAGTCTAAGACAGATTTCCTGCAGCATCTAATCACAAAAAGAGTATTTGATTGTATGAATCAAGAATATTACATCTGAAGTGATAAAGCCTATTGAAGCTATATCAGGAGAAGGTCTGATTTTCTATCATATGCCCTCCACTAATAGACCTGTTTTTAGTCCTTGTGCTGAAGGAAGAACTGCTACACTGCAAGGAGCAACTCAACAGGGAAAAAATTTCCTCTTGGGCTATTGTGTCTAGGCCCAAGAAGCTCTGAACACAGAGCTCCAGCTCTTATGTTTCATCTTACATTAGAAGATCCCAAACATGTAAAGTAATTCCTATTTAGATGAAGAGCTTTAATAACTGCTTTACTTACATTGTGGGAAAGTAGAGAATTTATTTCTTTAATACATAGTGAAATCAGGACATCTATATTAGCTGAAATTAGTTTTATCCATTTATTAGAAATGCAAACTTACACTGAAGCAACACTGTGGTTAGTGGATCTGGCCTGGATGTTTCCATCCTGGTTCTTGCTGCATGGAGGGACCCAGCTGAACACAAACCCATACACCCTGTAGGTAAGTTTAGTGGATTAGTCAGCCACATGCTTGAGTCTATTAATATGTAGTTCTATTGCCATGGCAGCAGGTTAAAGTTAGAAGTAACTAGATCTGAATAATTTAAACATGCTAAAAATACCAACTTCCAGGTTTAAGTGGTTCTATTTGTCACTACACTGTCACCTATAATGACAATTGCCACCTATGTTAGAAAATCTCCTTAGGAAACTCATATGCTGTACAAGTAGATAGTTCTCTTGTGTATTCCTACTCCAAAACCTATGTTACGTAGTTCCAGTTATTTGGAAAATGAGGAACAATGCTATTGAGAAACTATCATTTCTCTCAACTGTGGTGACTACGTGCAATTTGATTTCTACTGCAAAGAAATAACTGAAAATTGGAAAAATGCTGAACAGATTCAGTTTGATTCAGTTTGGCTTGGCCAAAAAGGCCTCCAAGCAAGTCTCAGTACTGTTTCATAAGTTCCTCCTTCTAAACATTTACCATTATGTAAAGACAAGTTGAAAAAAAAAAAAAGGTATTTGTCAATATAAGAAACCTACTCCTCCCAAGAAAATATATCAGAGAATACTGAAATGTGTTATATCACATCTCAGAACAGACTATGCACTGGAAAAAAGAATGGCATTTAGTTTCAGAAAGGTGGTATAAAAAAAATATTGTTTCCTTACACCAATTTGCCAAAAGAACAAACTGAATACAATATATTTTTCCTGTTCCTAAGAACTCCCAACTGAGCGCTCCAGAGCCTCCAAATTAACCCAGTGACGATCCCAATCAATATAAAGCACTCACCTAAGTAAAGTCATTCAGGTGCATTAGTGCTTCCAGGACTGCCTGTTTGACAGCACTGAGAAAGAGACATGGCTCACAATTTTAACAAAAAAGAAATACAAAGAATTTATCAGCATTTAGCACAGTCACGGAATTAAACATCTTCTTAGCTCATCATATTCATTTCTTAATTAAAAACTAACGGTGAACATCAAATACCTCCCCACTTCATTTTCTAATATGCAAATTGTAGTACCTTGCCTACTAAGAGTAGCATGCTGAAAGACGTGGCTGTGTGCCATGCACGTTCAAGAAAAAAGCTGTTTTAACATCAAGTGATTACAGCTACAAATTTAACCTATCAGCAACCCAGTTGGTAAGCTGGTCTAATGGAAAAATGGAGGGATGGTTTTAAAAGAACAGAAATGAATCTATCATGTAACAAGGAAATGTATGTGATTTAATATAGTTTGGGAATATACTTTCTTTTCACCTTAAAGGATGAATAAACTGCTTTTCTGCACTGCTCCTATTTCTTTGGCAAATCTATAGAGACTGAAACATTTTCATTTGCAATTTACAAGTGCTTTCCCTTCTCCATCCATCTGGATCAATTCTTCTCTAATGTCCAGACCATAAAGCTATGGATAGATACGTATGTATTCCAATTGCAAAACCAAATCCAATTCTTGCACAGTGATTTACCATGTATGCTAATAATGAAGTTCACTATGTGCAACTTGGACTGTCTCTCAGGTTGTGGACATGAAAATGACCTGGTGTGAGATAGGTAAGAGCTTTTCTAGGAAGAAAAATAAAAACTTGGAAAAGCTGCTTTCATTTACAACACCTCTTCTGTGAGACTCCAAAGAGAATAATTAGCCCAATGCAACCAAATGAAAGGAGCAACTCAGTCTCCACATCAGGGTCCCCAGTTATTCCCAAGAAGAAACAAGGCAGCCATGCAGCCTGTGAGACGATTGCTCAAAAGAGTTTCCAACATCTTGCATAGCTCAGCGCAAAACAAGATGTTTTGCTGTCTTTATTTTTCTAGAAGGAGAGAAAGTAATGAGTGTCTTATGCTTTTGAAGTAAAGATGCTGCCAGACATCCTCAACCAGGTGTCAGAAGAAAAGCAGATGCCCTGTGTTGGTAGGTTAACAAAGAACTGAATGGCATGGCAGGTTTGGCCTATGCCCATGGTGCAGTCATGGGTGGGGGGCCAAAGACTCTCCCTTGCAAGCAACAGAAGCACAAGGCAGTTTGTTCCACGGATGGAACAAAAAGGTACTGCTGCACACAACAGAGGCACAGGCTAATTGGCAAACAGGGCTGCAGCAAGGAGCTTCTGGGAGGGATTTTGAGGAGGAAGAGAAGAGCCAGCTAAGCTTACAGAATAAGCTGATACTGATAGCTGTGTGAAATGCAGATACAGGGAGCAGAAACATTTTAAATTTGAGCTGCTGTTGCAACCATGGATTTCCAGCACTGCTTCATTTGTTGTCCCTGCTAGATTGCCACTCTAAATATCCATTAGATTATGCTGTGCTGGGAGATCCTTCTCCTAGGATCATTAGGCACCTCTCAGATTAGTTTCCCAACATAAAATGAAAGTTACAATTCAGTGGCATAGCTGCAGTTACTGAAATAGCTCTGGCTTGGATGTCTGAGGCTTCCAAGGTGGGGAGAGTGGTATGGAAGGAAGGAAAGAGGAACAGCCACAGCAAAGAGGAGTTGGTCAGGCATAACTGGGCAGTACCTGCATTTAACCAATACATAACACGTAGTAAATGCAGACTAAATAACCACCTTGAGCATCCAATAAAAAGTGAAACAGACAAAACATCTAATCCCTTTACAGAGCAATTTTACTATGTAATGCTGCACTGAACAAGCTGTCAAACTTGAATCTGTAGAACAGTTTTCCATACTTTGTGTGTGCTTATTTATGTTAGGAACTTGTGTGAATTGTTTTTTCTTACACAGATGGTTCAACTTTTTTTTTCCAGGCAATAAATAGGTATGCCCAGACTGCAGGTGGATTTGCCTGTCAAAGCAGTCTTGAGTCACGCCATTATTTCTGCACACCTACAATTGGCACCCCCTAGAAATAAGAAAAACGTGAAGTAAATATTCACAACACAATTGTATTCGTAATCCTAAACAAAACATGAGGAAAGTATATATTAAAAAATGGGAATGTCAGCAATTTTGGAGGAATAATCAAGATAGTCCCTGGGGATTATAAAATACAGCTCTAAAGAAAAGCGCAAGAGACCTGATAGATGAAGTACAGACAATTAAAAACACAATATCAAATAATCCTGATGCAGATAAAACAGAATTAAAGAGATTCAGTACCTCTAATAATCCAGATAATCAAAAGGAAACCATTTTTAAAGTGAATTACACTGGAAGTGGAAATATAATTAAGAGCAAGTGTAAAAGAATAGCACAAGTATGTAAGAATTGAACTGAAAAGGCAATAACACAAAGCAAGTTATAACTAGCTATTAATGTAAATAAGAAGGACTATAAATGCATTATCTGTAACAGAAGATGAAGAACCATCAAGTTCACTTGTTTTAGTCAAACAAGTAACAGAATTGCAGAAAAGCTCAAGTACCCAAAGACTTTCTGAATTCAGTTTTCACTAAGAAGGTTAATTACAGTCAGATACTTAAACAATTAATTTTATCAAGGAGATAAAAGTGTAGGGCAGGAATACGAAAAGGACAGGATGAAGAATATTCAAGCTGAATGCAGTCAAATTTTAGGGACACTTTCAAGTACTCAAGGAATTAACTTAAGCCATCTAAGAACCATTAGCAATTATCTCTGAGAACTCTGAGGACAGAGAAATCCTCGGGGACCTGGCAAGGGCAACAGCACCAATTCATAGCAAAGAAGGTGGAAGGAGCATCCAAAGAATTAAAGATCAGACTTCTACAGCTAGATGTGTATTAGAACAGTAAATAAAAATGACAAAATATCATGAAGATAGACTACATGAATCTCTTGAAAACAAAGTATGCCAGTCAACAAAAACAGGTATTTCTGACACTGATAGAGACATGCAAAGCAGACACGCTTCAGTAAGGCAAGATGTCAGATACACCTTAACAAATAAATTCTCTTCAGTTTTGTAAGCAAACTTTGAAATACAGCCTGAATGAAATTATGAAGTATACAAAACGTTCAAGCTATTATCTTTGAGTTGATAAAATGAGAAGATGTTTCTGGAGGCTTCCTACAGGAGTTCTTTTCTAGACATCGTATTGTTTTGTATTTTCATCTGGGGTAGTAGAATAGTACCTTATAGGACTAAGATATGAAGTGCAAGAGATTTTCACAAATACAATCACCTGAGTGGTCCCGCAGTAGTAAGCTGACAATAGAGTAGCATTTTGCTAGAGGACTGGGAACAGTTATTTTAAGTTGGAGACATTTCTGTGAAGGTTGTTTTGCTTTAAATGCTGCATATAGTTACTGTGCTCAGCAAGTCTGATGTTGTTACCTCCTGCTTCTGAAAGAAACCTAGCAGCAGAGCCAAGCACTGAAGTGACAATGCTGAAGACAGATATAAGGAGATGAGGATTTATCAGCTGAGATAAGGGGCTTTGGCTACCTCATTAGTTACAGTCACTGCAGCTGAGCAACTGCATAGCTTCCTTCTTTGGACCAGCAGGGACAAAGCTAGCTACAAATTGCTGGGAATGCTGCATTTATCATCAACTTCAATTCACTTCCAACCTGAGCAGTAGTGGTACCACTTATACCTCATGCAGGAGGAAAATGTAATAGTCATAATAAAGAAGCAGCCTTTCTGCAGCAGTTTGAGCCAAATAGTGTTTCAGACTTCTAGAACACAAAGTATTTAATAAAATAACAGTCCCCACTGTAATTGAAACATTGAGTACATCACAATCTGTAGCGGAATGTCATTTTCTGACAATCAAACCACTATAGGGGCAAATTTGCCCAGCTGAAAAGAATAGTGTTACCTATGTAGTGTGCTGATCTGTGGCAACGTTGCTCCTGGTGCTCAGAGCAGATCTCATTCACGACAACATAAAGCAGAAAATATGCAGCCCTTTCTTTGTTACCTCTCCTTCACTTCATCTTTACTCACTACCTCATGAAATCAAATTACCTCTTAAATATCTGAAACACTACAAGTTTGAAAAAAATCACAAGTAACAGGAGATCAACCAGTAACAAAGCAACAAAAAACAAACAGAAGACAAGCTGTACAGAAAAAAATACCAGACTCAAAGTGTTTGCAGTAAGAAATATAAAATACCAATGAAGTTTGAATAGATCAGTATTACATGTCATCTACAGACATTTTCCTCTGAAACAAAAAAGAATGGATAAGATGAAGGCTATTGTTCTGTTTTTTATTTTTAATCTTATCCTAAATTCGGGCTGAGATGTTAGACTCAATCTAGATGAGTTCTCTTGAAGCTCATCTGCCACTTTCTCCTATCAGTGTTACTCCATGAACCAGTGATTGGTCGTTACAGCATCTTTCAGTTTTAATGAGACCAAACTTCTGAAGTAAAATGTGAGCAGTGCTTTCCTTCTCTTCTTCACAAATATTACAACCCTAATACAAAGCAGCGAGACAGGTCACAACCCTTTTTTTGTCCAAGTAATAAAGTGTTTCAAAGCCATGCCCCTCAGGCACCGTATACACATACATGTACAGGTCCTGCTGTGCACTGAGACTTGAAGCTACAATACAACATTAAAGGGATATTTTTCCTTCAAAGACCATTTATAACTCCCACTAAGACTTACAGATCTATGCAAGCCCATTAAGAAAGATGAATACACTTCCCCCACAAGTATAGCCTTGAATTACAAACCAAGAAGGGGTACAGAGGTCTGACACTGAGAAGAAAACCTTGAAAATCTGCACTTTTGATGGAGAAGCAGGTGCATCTCTCACTCAGCTGTGAGTACAGTACAGCATTACTCACCTCTTCTGTTAACATTATGCAGATACGCCCTATGGCAAGAGGTAAGCATCAACGATATTTAAAATCTATTTACAAATCAGCCCTTTCCTTCCTCTCCATCTACATCCATTTGCTTGAATGAAGATCTGTCTACAGCATTCAAATACCCTTCTGTTGAAAAGTCAAACATTTATTCAAGGACCAGAAAAGTTCAGCAGGTTTCCAGGTTACTCTGGCATTTGTCATTTTCAAAGTGTTTTCTTGATAAACAGTAGTCATAATGAAACATACTTTGGGAAACAGGAAAAAGAAGTCTGCTGACAGCTACTCTTCCTCCACATCCACCTGCCAGGGAGGTGGATGTGCTTGTTATTAGCTTTTCATATCCTCAAAGCCATTCTTAAAAGCATTCTGTGTGGTTGCCTTTCTCACCTCCAAAACTGCAGATCTCTCAAGGCTGGGTTGTGATACTCCTCAAAAAGAGCTTTAAAGTCCAGCGATGTCAAATGCCTTCTGTAGCTCAAGCACGAGTACTCGATAGGAATGACAATTTGTCTTTCATAAGAAAAAAAGAGGAAGAAATACATTGAAGTTGCCTTATACAGAAATTGCATACGATCACACTGGATTTCACAGAAGTAGGAGAAATACACTTATCAGAACCAGCTCTTCAATTGCTTTTAAGAAGATTATGGAATAATTCTTGCTACTGTGTCCTCCTGCGCAGTGTCATTGCATGGATTGAAATCATCATAGATAGAAGCAGTTGCAGAATTAAGTGTAATTTGTTCTCTTTAAGGAAAAATTATTTCCTAGAGTAGCTCTCAAGAAACCAGTTTTCCCACCTGTGTTACCCATTGACTTCAAGTTATTACCACAGTTCCTTATTGCTTCACCTGAAGAAAATTTCTGACTTGAGTACTGTCATATTGATTTGCCTCAGGAACAGCTGTAGATGTGTGTAACTAGGTGTTTCCAAAATGCTGGAGACATCCTGGTGCTAAACCTCCCTGTCAGTGAAGCCTCCCACTGCACATTTTCCCTTCCCCTCCTAATCTGGACTAACCTGTAAGAAGTTTTTCACACACACAGGAAACCTTCTGTTAATTTCAACATTTCAGACATTTACAGATAACCTCTGAAGCAAACCCATGGAACAAAGCATGTTCACTTACAGAGGGAAGTGAATCTATTAAAATGTAGCAGGTGGTGAACGTGCTCACATAGCAACTAGAAAGATTTGTGCTGGATGACCCCAGAGAAGTCCTTTGTTAGACAGATACCAGGAGGAGTGATAAATGTTTCTGTCCTTTTGAAAGACAAGGATTCTTTAGGTTTATCTGAGATTTTTGGTTACCATCTGCCTGGACATCTACCATTTGCTCTCCACCATATACAAATCTACTCTGTGCTCAATGCCATTGAGGAGCATCCAAACTACTGCCTGCTTTAAAGTAAACTTGCACATCTCGGCAAACTCAAGAAGCCTCAGAAATACAGGATTTCTTTCTTTTTTTTTTTTTTTTAAACAGATCTACACTACAGATGCATTGCAATCACTGGAAATGACTCACCATACATTTAATCACATCCGCCTGCTCACGAACTCAGAAAGCATTGTCACTAGCCCATCTTGCTCCAAACACACTCCAAGTAAGCCCAGTGCTGACCTGTCTGAACTTCTGTGACCCCTGCTACACTGTAAGCATGCCACACTCATAACACTGATGAACGCCAGATCTGCAGTGCTGGTTTGTGATAGTCCTGGATTTCATCCCTAATTAGCCCATCACACTCATCTGCTGAAGGAAGAAGTGTTATCACAGGTAACTAGGCACAGCAAGTTGAATACTGACAGATGTTCTCTTCCACATGCTGGAAAAAAGCCACAACAGTGGTTTCATGCTCCCTCATCAGAATTCTGCACAGCGCCAACACCACTACGTAAAACAAACAGCATACAGGAAAGCGAGAGATGAAGGAACAAGTGAAGCAGCCAGTGAAACGAGTGCTTATAAACACTGTTCTTAATACATTTCCTTTGTTTCTGCAATGCACTTTCCTTTCACCACTGCCCAGCTCCTTCAGGATGAGTTCCTGACCTCCAGCTCTTTGGAGCAGGTCAACCCATGCATGCATACAGCTCCACACCAAAGCACAGATGTCTCACGTTATAGCTGTTGGCTCACTGTGCTGCAACAACTACTTTTTTTTTTTTTTTAGAGGACAGTAGGAAAAGGTGAAGGGTGCTGGAGGCTCAGCGGATCCTTTGCTATTTTTGCAAAAGAGAAACAAAGAGTTTCCTGAATCAAATTGCAGTTCTGAAACAAGCTACTGCAGGCTGAAGCAGATTTTATTTGCCACTCTGCTTTGGTTGTTGAATCAGAGAAGGGTACATAATGTGAGAGTAGAACAAGATGTGCTGTAGCTTTAAAGCCAGATCTTGTGCAATGCAGGAGCTCAACTTTTTGATTATTTCAAATGGTTTAAGGATGAGCTCTGTTTTAAACTACTAGGCCACAGCAGTGGCCTAAAAGGTTGATCTTTTTAATGAGAAATTGATTACATAGGACATTTTGGTGCAAAACTGAAGTAGTACAGATATTAAGTGACTCTTAAGGAGTGAAATATAGTTATTGAAACCTAGACATTCTGATTTGAAATATTTTAACAAATAAACTCAGCTTTAGTGAAATATTATTCCAACAAAGGCTGGTTTTGAGGGTTGTTACTGTCTATTTTGAGACATTTACAAACAAAAAATGGAAAATTGGAAAAAGCTTTCTGAAAATACAATTTTCCTACTTTGTTAGTATTTGTTCCATAAGAATTATGGAACAACTATATCCAATATACAGACTGCCAAGTCTACACTATCAAAAGTTTCAATCAGAACTTCCAGCGACTGTTGCTGTTATCAATTTTTTCTATATTTAATAAAATGAAAATTAAAAAAAGAAAAAAAAGAAACCTACCCCCCCCCCCGCAGCATTCATGGCCAAATCCCTTACCTACATGTTTGCATTCACATGGTGAGCCACATTTCTGCTCCAAGATAACTTCACCGCTCAGGAAGACTCACACACCTTCTTGTTAATCTCAAGCAGTTACCTTAACTAAAAGTGCTATTACTTCTTGTCAGAATCCCCTCAGAATAGTCATTAGCTCAATAGAACATCATACCAAATACAATTTTCCTCCTAACCAGAGGTTTACAAGATAACTTAATCTCGTATACGATGCAAAACCCACTCCACTTACCAGCTGAACATGAGCACCTCACTTCTTAGCACTCATCTCATTTGGAGACTTCCACCACTGAAATGCAAACACAAGTTGTCATCCAAGATAAGAAATACAGAGATGAGAAGGTGAACGCCATAGTCAGATAATTTCCTAAGTTTAATGTTTCATTCACTACAGGTAGGAAACGCCAACTATCATCCAAAATGTAATCACTTCTGATGGTGATTTGGCATATTACAGATGTTTAGCACTTGTCATTAAAGTAATTATCTCAGAGAAAGCCAGTGAAACATCTGTAACTGCTGGTTACTTCTGAAAGTCATTTACAAAATAGGTAAGTTTTCTTCACTAGGTGACACCAAGGAAAACTAAAATTCTACAGTCCATCAGCAGCTAAATAGAAAACAACCTCCAAAACTCTTTAATAAGAGAGACATAAGAGAAAGGGCTAGGATAAAGATGCCCCCACTGACCCCTGCAGGAAAATAACAAAATGGATAGTTTTCATTCATTTGTCAAAAGCACTGAGGAATGAGCAACGGCATCCTCTGAGGGAGGCAAACTGAGCTCTGGTTCTATTTGGGAAGGTCTCACACTCCCTGATGGCAACAGGTTAAATAGCTGCATCTAGGACACTCCCTATCTGAACAAGCTACTCTCAAAGTGTCAATACCTCACGGAGGACCAACAAGTTCAAGTAGCATTGAAATGTATCTCAAATGAATCGAGGATAATGAACTTGGCTAATAGGTTGGCTAGTGTGTGAAATCGTACTCATACTTCAGCTTAGGAGGGAGAGAAGCAAACCCCTTTATTTAGAGGAGTATGTAGCCAAGCAGAGCCAAGATACTTAACGAATGTTGCTAAAACATCTTTGTTCCCAAATTACTTAAACTCTCCTTTCTTGCTTATATGTAGATTTTCAAAGTGTTTCTCCTTAACAAGAGAACCTGAAAGTGGAGCTATTTGTGCTTTGAATACCCTGAAAGGGTGCTTAAGGGAGTAAGGAAAACACATTCATCACAACACAGCTTCCCAACCTGGTGCTTAGGGCTTGGGAACAGCAGAGACCACACACCTTTTACAGACAGATAGGGCTGCCGAGAGGATTGCTTGTTTCTGCAGCTTCAGAGACACCGTGCCTAATAATAGCTGTCAGTGGAGGTGAAAATGCCTTCTGGGGATGGGAAATCACTTCCACAGCAGTGCTTTTCCTTCCTTTTCTGCCACCTCAATGCAAGACTAACAGGACCCCCCTAATGCTGGCTTTGGGAAGCACATCTTGAAGTTAACACTTTCTACATTCACATTTTTCCACCTGTGCTCTCTAAATTGTGAGTAATGACACCAGTACACCACCGCATATCTTAAATCACAAGCAAAAGGAAAAGCCCACTGGACTCCTTGTATTTCAGACTCCTGAATAATCAGTGCTGTGCCTGGCTATTGCCCGGAAGCCCTATCAGAAAGTCCATAGGTTTCCAAAATCTCCTCTGCAGCCACTATTTAAAATGGAAGTTTCAAACCAAGAAATATTCTGTGTGGGTTTTTCTGACTTTTTTTTTTTTTTTAAAAAGCACAGATACCTCCTACCTCTGAACAGAAAACATGCTGGTAAAAATAGATTGAAATTTTGGCCAATATTATTCTTAAGCATTCAGAAACCTTGCAAAAAAATCAAGAAGTAGTAAGCAGTCATTTCTACATTCTCCCTCAAATATGGTTAAAAATAGTTATATATTTGAATCAGTGCATGCACAGCCATGTATTTGGCTGCGTTTCTTACTTGCAGATCACCAAGTCACACTGGAGCAAGAGGAGTAATTCACATTTTCTAAAAGACAATAGATTCACTCCTGTGTATCTTAGAAGGAGAAATTTTCATATTATATTGTATGTTTGGTACCATTGTACTTATTTATCCATTCTCTTATTTAGATAATGCTTACCAGACAGTCACTAACTATTAAAGTCTGAACATAAAGCTGTGGAAGAACTGTTTTTGTTTATATAATATAAAAGCTAAAGGACCATCATCCATCATGCAGTTGTGACAAACACTGCTTAAAGAAATGAAGGAAATATGAATTATGAACTCTAATATGAATAGAATTTTTACCTGGCAATAAATTAATAAGTGACTCAGTCTACTAGGTAATAGTGGTCTTCTATTAACATGATTTCTTGAAAGCCTTTGTGACAAATATATGCTATACTTCAGTCACATATGGAGCCTTGACATTTTGCATCAGAAGTTCTTCAGCAGTGTTTCTTCAGGTCTCACTCTGTGATGTGAGAAATTAATACAGATCTCAATGTGAAATAACTTCTAGCCCTTCGTGCCATTTTACACGTCTAGATTGCTGCGTTATAGCTTCTGTATTCAGAGGTTACAAGATGTAAACACTCCCTGTGGCAAAGTGTTTGTAATTAAATACAGTGATGAAGAAGCAGCTAATTAAAAAAATGTTTTTATGATAGCTGTGTAATACTTAACTTCCATAGTCGAACAGCTGTGTAGAAAACACTACATGTGTTAACATCGTTGGGAGCATTGCATGAGAACCATGTTTACATGACTGCAGGCACTAAGGGCCTGAGGTGACAGACATTAACTCAATGTTTTTTGAGTAAGTCACATGAGCTTGGGTGGCTTTTGGTCTCATCTTGGGTTTCAGGCATCACCCAACTCATCCCCAGCACCTACCACAGGTCAACTCTGTTTCTGCACCACCATTTCCTTACTCAGACTATCTCACATACCCAAAACCTAGCTATTTCCTCTTGTAACAAATCACCAGCCCCTGATAGTTTCTGGCACTCTGTAGCTCACCAAGTCATGAATGATCCCATAATAAAAATCATTTTTTTCTCCCCATGCATCAAAAGCACAATCAGTTTTCACAAACCACAGAGTCAAACAGATCACTGTAAGGGACAGACTGGAAACAAATTTCATCTTCATATGCACATGGAAAGGAAGACAATGTAAAATCAATAGCAATATGCTTACTAATATGCGCCTTAGCCACAGGCTGCAGCATGGAATGCAATATACATAAGAAACACTTTCAGTGCAAAACGGTTCAATAAAATGATACATACTCCAAAAATGAAGTGTCCCCCAAGAAATGGAAAACACAATATCTGCCCTAAGAAAAGGGTATACTCATAGCCTCAGTAATCAGCATACAGTGATCTGTATCTTTGAGGCTAGCACTGTAACAAAAAAAGCATTCCTGAGAATAGCAAAGTTTTTGTATACTGAAGTCCAACTGATAGGACAGGCACCTTAGGTCTACTGGCCAGTATGTGATGATCAGCAGTATTTGTGTGGAGGAACTCAGGAACCTCCCATCCCTATGGGAAGGGATGAACAGGAGAAGGCAAAACCTACAACTGTCCTTCAAGCACCCTCTTCGTGGCAGTGATCTTTCAAATCAGAATACAATCTTCCCTATACAGAATATCTTCCAAAAGTGAGCAATAAGAAAATAAAAATGAACTTTTAAAAATGGACCCTCGTTTCCAAGAATTTTGAAGGGTTATTGTTAGGTGCTTCTCACCTCCACACTATGAGACTAATTTCCTACATCATTTGCAAGGTTTCATCTGATTGATGCACGAGAAGGTGACAAATCAAGCCTCCTATTTAGCAATCAACAGATTTAAAACAATTCTCTCTATCGCATATGGTTTTCAAGAGAGAATCAGTTTGATAGCTCTCACAATACATCCAATGATTCGAAACTTACCTTCAAAACACTTAGCTGGACTTACTGCACCAGAATTGAGCAATTTCTTCTCCTCATATCACCCAGTCCAAAAGCCTGTGGTTATCATTATTATAAGCCAGCATGAAAGAGACAAAAATTCATAAGCTAATAAAACAATATTATTCATGCTTGTTTTGGAAGAATAAGCATTTCAGTGGCTATAAGATTTTTATTGTAAAAGGACATATTTTTGCATGGCAGAAGTTTCTTGAACCTTAAATGAGTGCTATCTTCCATTACATTAATTTAAGTGAAAAAAGGCTTTCCTGACTGACACTAATTGATGGACCCTCCCGGGACTTAATTGACTTGAGTTTGTCTCTATAAACCTACACCGTTAATCAGTTCCTTACCCACTTTGAAAAAGGTTTGCAGCTGAAATGTCAGTGAGAGGTTATAGACAGACAACAATGACTGTGTGTAAGAGTGCTTTTGAACACTCTAGTTGTGCTAGTTTAAAATTAATATTTTTCTAAGCTTGTAAAGTGGGAAGAGTCTGGAATTCATTTAATGTTTTCTATTGTTTTGTAAGCATTTCACTTCAGCAAGTACATAATTGTACAACCTTATAGCTAGTCTATCCTGTATTAAGTGAAGAAGAACACCCTTGGGTTGCACATTAATTATATTATATATTTTATGTACATAACTAGCAAAACTTCTTCATTACATATATTTCTACACAGCAAAAGATGATGATAGTGACATACAAACTTCTAATGGCATACAAACACTATGGAGCAATAGCAGATAAAAAAGGAAAATGGCTCACCCCTTCTGATGACAGCTCAAGAGGGGTGTGACCTCCATCCAGAAACAAGCTGCTCCCTTAGCTGCTAACCCTTAAATGAGGGTGAGGAGTGGATCCAGGCTCCACTCCTGCTGGTCACTCAGCTTCTTTGCTTGTACCTGAGCTCCTGGGTTAGCCTTCTTACCTGGTGCTCAACCATTGGAATTGCCAGGTCATAGCCCAAGCCATTGCAATTTCATACTAAAGCATTTTTTAGAAAAGCAAGAAAACCATAAGTTTGTCCTTGTTGTTCTGAAACTAATACATCTGTCTGGTTCAACAGGAGTGATTGCAATCCTTAGTGAGTTCTTGAGGTGTTCACCAGACTTTTGATGATATTTCACTCTTCTTGTACTTCATCCTTGAAAGCAATTGTTTACAGACAGACATATTATAAAAAAAAAAAAATGATGACACAAATAAGGCATGAGGAGAAGTACAGGATGGAGAGGGGGGTTGCCACAGCATGAGCTGTGCCAGGTCACATGCAGCCTGCATGGACATGCTTG